GCTATTTTTTGGTTGCAGCCGTCATTGTTGTTTGGCGGGCCCGGGCTGGATTCGAACCCGCCACCTTAGGTGTATGTGGCTGGCACCCTAGCCACTTGAGCCACAGGTGCCAAGCCAACTCTTTAGTTTTGACAACTGAATCATGGTAGACTAAGATAGTATGTTAAGGAAAACTTAGCAAAAAGTATATGAGAACTAAACTCTCTGTACTATGTTTGCTATTCTTCTGGAGTCTAAAATTATTCTAAAATAAAAGGTTTAGTAAAAGAAAATAAACAGGTGTGTTATTTATTCCAGGTCTTGCCATAGTCTTCAGTGTAAAAGATACATCATACGTCTCCAGGAGGAGGACTTATATCTTCATCTATTTCATGTTTAAGCCCTGGAAAAAGGTTTAACAACATTACCTGCTCTGGACTTTCATGCACATGATTTACTCCACTCTAGGCAAGAGGCTTTATTATTGTACTTCTATATAAAGTTGGTAATCCAGGCTCCAGAAAAGTAGCCTTTTCTAAGCCACTCAGAGTAAGTAGCAGAGCCAGGTTTCAATTGCAGGTTGTGTTTTTAATACCCTGCCATGCTGATGATATACTAAACAATGAACAGTTACTATTTACAAAGTCCATATCATACAGTACGTACTGGTCTCAGTACTTCATACCTTATTTAATCTTTACCACATAAGAATAAAAACCCGAAAAAAGAAGTTTAAAGAAGCCAACAACTACAAATATTAAAAAGTGTGAGCATTAAATTAGTCTCTCAGAATATTTCCCAAGTACCCACAGGGGCGAGCAGAGCTGAGGAGGGGACTCTATGTCCGGAGGGTGGACAGGCAGCCAGAATCAGCCTGCCAGAGTCTGCTAACATTTTGCTCAATTCTTAAGAATTTTTCCTAAAAAATCACTTACCTATATTTAACTCCAAAACAAATGCACATTTGTTTCACTATAAAATGTTTCAAAATATTTGCCGAGTCAATTTCTTAATTTTTTCCTCAAAACACTTTCAGAAAAGTGACCACTTGAAGCAAAAAGCAGGTGTAGGGGACTCCTTTACAAAGCAGTCCCAGCTGCAGTTCTGTGCAAGAGGCATGGGCTGGGTGCTCACCAGGATCCCTCCCATCCCTAAGAGGTCTGGACCCTGTCCTGTCACTGGCCTGTCCCAAAACACACAGCTTGGTAAAATGTGGTGAAGAGGATCAGGTACTCCAAAGGTTCAGGACATATCTGATGGCCGTGCATGAGAAACATGGCTGAGGAGCTCCTCTCAAGACCCACCCTGCTTACCCACAATCTCTGGGTCCTTCTGGCCAGCTTTCCTGTGCACCATGGTAGGAAATGTGACTGTCAACTTGCTGTTGTGTTCCTTTCGAACAAGTGACCGCCCAGTCCTAAATAGGACAATTGTGATTGAGAAGAGAAAAAAAATCCCAGTAAGACATTTAGCATATCAACTGTCATGTGAGTTGTATTTAACTCACACCAGTTTTGAGCCCAGGGCCTCCTGAAGCTGTGCTCATTGTTTTTACTGTCAATCAGCATATGACCCCCACCTCCTGTTGCCCTGCTCCAGCCACTTGCCCAAGGACACCACATGTGCTGGTCTGTGTTCTCTGATTCTCACAACTTCTGACTGCGCATTTCCCCTTGAATGTTGCCTAAGGGCTCTTTGAATAAAACTGATAAAATAGCACGCAGGGAGGTGACACTGTTGCATATACTCAGGGGGTACATTTCAGAGGTTGTCATCAAGGATCACCCAAGGTCCATTCCAGACACAACTAAGTACTCTTAGAATGACAAAAGACTTAATTCTCAGAAACAAATTCAGTAAGTACACCATGAGTCACATGGCATGTGGTATAAAATTGATTTCTAGTGCTGTGTGAGTTGCACATAACCCATTAACAGAAAGCCATGAAAAATAACAAACTTTTCACTAAATTAAAAAGGATCATTTTGTTTTTAAAGTTTTTATTCTGTTTTCATAATAAAATACTGTGGCCCCAGGACAAATTTTTTTTTAGTGTAGCTGTCAATGTGTTAATAGTAGCTGTAAGTGGCTAGCCAGAGATGCCCCACCCGGGGAAAGGGAAAGGTTACTGATACTCACTTGCAGTGGGGACATCGTTTAGCTGTCATATGTGCCTTCCAGAAGTAAGCAATGAGTCTGCTCCTACTCTCACACACATTTTTTACCTGTTAAAAATAGTCAGAGAACTTGTGAGTGCCATTTTGAGGAGCATCCAATATGTATTCATATTCAATGAATTTTAACTGTAAGAAACAGGGCTCCTTCTTTCTTAAACAAAGTCTTCCACAGAACCCTAACACAGCCCCGCTCTGCTATGAGTGACCTCTTGAAGCCTTAAGTTTCCTCATTTATAGTAGGAAAAAGAACAGTAACCACCTTAGCAAGCTATTGCTACACCTCTCTCAGATGGCCCTACGGGTCTGGTGACAGTAGTTCTAAGCTTGATGCAAATGGGAATCATGTAGGAGCTTCTGTAACCTCTACTTGGGCCCTACCCCAGACCAATTAAATCAGAATCTCCGGTGTAACACCTGGGCATGGGGTGATTCAGATTTCAAGATGAGCACTGTGGGCTAGTTACTCTATCCATCCATTCATTCATTGAGCAGATTAATACTATAATACTTATACAGGTGTCGTAGAGGAGAGGATGGGGTAGCAGTGGTGGAGAAAGTATTGGAGAGAGAAGGAAGAAAAGGATATGATATCATTCTCAAAGTGGATGTTTGCTGGATGCTACACCTAACCCACCTAATGTCACCTAACCTTTTCATTGGTCCTACAGGCAGGCGTTGGAGATGAGGTAATGGACACTTGAGGACAGCTGTGTAATTTGCAAAGTCACAGGCCTCATTAAGAGGTACATTTGAGATTCAAATCTAGGTCAACTCTGGGAAGCCAAAAGTGTAAGTTATGACAGTGTAGAGGAACTGTGACAGTTAGGCTGAGCACAGAGTTTCGGGGGAAGAGAGACAGTGACAACTCACATATGCGCCCTGGGACCCTAGGAGGTTGTTCTGCACAATTTCAGTTGTATATCGTTCTAACTCCTCTTGAATTTCGAAGGCAGAAGGATTAGCATTTTCTTCTAGAAACTGAAAAACAAAGAGGAAAACCATATTACTGCCAGAAAGCAGGAGAGCCTCTTCTTTTCTTTTTCTTTTTCTCTTTCCCAAAATCCATGTTCAAATCTTAAATAGGAGCCTCTTGAAGCATAGAAGAGATTATTTTGAGTGGAATAAAAGAAACCATGTTGGCCGTGTTTGTTGCACTTCCAAAACAGTGAGGCAACATCACTGTTAAAACAATCAAACAAGAAATCTGAGTAAGAACCCCATCTCTACAAAACCCAGAAAACCAGCTGAGTATTGTGGCATGTGCCTGGTAATTCCAGCTACTTGGGAGGCTGAGGCAGGAGGACTGCTTGAGCCCAGGAGTCTAAGGTTGTACCAAGCTATGATGATGCCATTACATCGTAACCTGGGTGCCAGAACAAGACCCTGTCTCAAAAAATAAAATAAAATAAAATAAAACTAGAGAACATCATGCTTCTAATAAGAGTGGGCTAGATTATTCAGGTTCTTCTTGCAAAGAACCAAGACAGTTTAAGATATTTTAAAAATCTGTATGCTTTGAAAAGGTGACAAGACAATGAGGAACAACCTAAAGACACATTGAAGAAGAAACAGGAATCTAGTGAAGACCAAGAGCATGTGAGCCACGTGTGCTCTGACAGAGGGCATCATTCAGTGAAATCCTGTGCCCTTAGGGAAAGACAGCCACGGCACTCCAGTCTGGGCAACATAGCAAGACCCAGTCTCTTAAAAACCCCAAAAGTCTAAAGCTAATGCAAGAAAATCATCACTCCCTATCCCCGACACACACACACAAACAGAGTAAGCTGAAAATCGAAACGTTATACCCTCAGGAATGACCAGCCCTTGTACAATCAATCCCTTGGGCAGTCCAGGGAGCTTTGATCTTTGAAGCTGGACTGTGATAGTCCCAGGGTGGTAGTGCCTCCAAGAAGTAGTAAGAATCCTTCTGGAGAAAGGCAGCATTCATCCTATGCCTCTAATTATTATTCCCATTAAAAATTTTTAAAGTACAGTGGCAAACAAACTGTCAAAAATAAGTACACAAAGAAGCATGGGAAGGGAAGAAGGTTTCTGGGGACATGAAAGGGATCTTATGGAAAATGGTCACTTTGGTTAGTCTATACACATGATTGGAAGCATTTTTGTGAGTATATTTCATGAAAAAAAAATTTCAAGAGAGTAGATGCCCTGAGTAATTTCATGCCAATCAATTTGAAAATTTCAGATGAAACAAATTCCTGAAAAAACATAACTTACTCTGAATAAAAGTTTAAGGAAATTCTTTCTCCCCACCCCCCCAGACAAATTTGACTCTAAGTTAGTTCTGTTCCCCTGGAACTGTGATAAAAGTAGAAATGTCAGTGTGTTATTAGGCAACATTGCTGATGGTAAAAGTGATCCTGATGGGCCAGACTGCCATCTGGACTGACCACTAATGAACTATAAATTTCTGGGAAACCCCAGCTCTGAGCTTCCCTGAGTCCTAACTCAGCATCTCCTTGAGGGTCCCAGGAAGTCTATCTAGCCCATGGAACTGTCACAAAAGATCATCAATTTATTTTTTGGGCTCAGCACTTGTGGCTCAAGTGGCTAAGGCGCCAGCCACATGCACTAAGGTGGCGGGTTCGAATCCAGCCTGGGTC